CGCTTCTCTGCACGGTGCAACCAGAGTCAACCCTGCGTTGCGCAGTTCTCAACGGCCACGTTGCGCAGTTTCGCCCGATTAGACACGTTCTCTCGCGCGAACATTCACACTCGCATGCTCGAGCCGTCTGTGTCTCCGCCCATACAGCGTGCGTTGAGGATCTCTCAACGTGCCGTTGCGAACTGCGCAACGCAGGGTTGACTCTGGATGGGCACTTGTGATTTCCGTGACGCGTCGCGCCAATCGCGCAAATCGCGAAAATCGCGAAGAGTGGATCGCGGACTCTGACACCAGCCTGACTTCAGTAGGTCGGCAAACCTTCACCATAATCCCTTGGCGTCAAATAAACTGTGTTGTGCAGATGAGATGCATCGCAATTCACGCTAAAGTGGCGACTCGCCGCTCAACCTACAGAAAAAAAAACCCTGAATGGGTTTTTGGGTGGAGTTTCGTTAGTCTTCAGTGGGTATGTTGCTTAACCCACTGAAGGTGAAGACTTGGGTTAGGAAGGAGTTCCTCCTCCTGCTGAGACCAAACCTTACGGATGGAAGAGCTCCTTCCTAGGCTTCCACTCGAAAACGGTTTCCACGTCCGCCTCACATATGTAGCACGGAGTAGACTAATTATCTGGATGTCGTTAACATACCATTCCACGGTTTACGGACTACTTGATTTTTCCTCAATGGTCCTGCCGCGATGGCTAGAGCACAGACGATTAGAGAACGGATGAAGTGCCCTGTAAGCCATGATTAGATTGGCACAGTTTACGGTGGACAAAGTCCAGTGATCTCCTGTTTTGGACTCTGTATCGTTCTACTTGTGTGTTAAGTTCCTCGAAACTTCTTGAATATTCACGTTTTCAGTATTGGTGAGTTTACGGATCCGCTGTTCATGTTGCTTGTCAATATAGGACTATAGGGTCGTATTCTGCTTTGTACAATCAATTTGTCAGACCTTCTTGAAGGGCGACACGAGTAACGATAAACCTTCTGCCCCTGATTGGTTGCGTGAAACTATAGAACTTAAGTTTCGTCATAATATCGGAAATGAAATTAGTATTCCAACACCGAAATTCCGAGGTCAGCTCAACTGCGACTTTGGCGTGAATTGCAGTGTGGCGTGCATCTCATCTGCACAACACAGTTCATCTGACGCCACGGGGTTATGGTAAAGTCTGTCGACCTACTAGGCTTACATACTTGTACACATGTCAGTTATAGGCGTCGAGGTCTCGTACTCGTGTCACTCATTTTGCCGCTGGCGCAAGTTTGCTGGGGATTTCAAATTTTCTATTGTAGAGCAACCTCAATCACAGGGTTCCATTCTTTGGTTATTGAAATCAAACTGATTTAAGGAGCTTATTTAAAAAGCAATTTTGAAAGCTTATACTCATTCCAATTTCTATTTTATGAGCATTCCAGTTCACTTCCTTTTCTGAAAGACCTGCTGAAGAGTTGCTTCCATGTGTTTTTGTATTCGCTTTTCTTTATATTTTCGCCTTACACTTGCTATATCATCGTTGCCTACTACTGGTAGCTTTGCTCTATGAACCGATTTCATTTGAGAATGTAGTAAATTACGCTACATCGATTGTGTTCCATCTATTGGCGTGACGTTGAACAGGATCGCTTGTGTAATGAAGCAGTGAATTTTTTTCCTAGATTTTGTCATCATCATCGTCGTCATCATCATCATCCTTCTTCTTCTTCATCCCTCTGACGGAAAAAAGTCAAAAAAGAAGAAGAAATCAGAGAAGAAGAAGTCAAAGAAGGCTAGGAAATTAGAGGAAAAGAAGTCAGAGAAGGACAAATCGACTATTGACTTGAAAAAGGAAGCAAAAAAGGTAAGTTGTAGAAACATTCTCCTACTCCTTTTTGATATTTTCTTCGTATTCAGCCAAAGAAGCGCCAGGTAGAAAGTGACTCGTCTTCAGATGAAGGGGTGGTAGATGCAACACCAGTTAAGAAGTCCAAGAAGGGGGGCAGTCGTTTGAGAAATGCCGACGGAGAAGAGGTTGGATGCTTTTTATGTTTTTATGTTAGCATAGCGCATGTCATATTTAATATTACGATGACGAGGAGGATAACTTCTGTGCTAAGCTAGCTGTTAGGGTGCAATGGAAAGGAGGAAGATATTCTAACGGAAGGTCTTCTCTGAGAGTTACTGAACTCATGACAGCGAAAGAACCTCCGATTTGTGTAGTATTTATTCCTAAGTGGCCAAAATAGCGCCGCAGGCCATCTTCACCTTGTTTTGAACGCATGTTTCGACATATAAGTTCAACCTCACTTCAGAGAACTATGGATTAAACATCGCGGAATGCTCCGTCAATGGACCCTTTTCTATAATCGCCTAGTTTTCATCAAATAGCAGAAGAAACGAAAGTACTGTACCAATCTCTCACTATTCAAGTAGAGCAAATTTGCCCGAGAATGAAAGACCACTGGTCATAAAACTACAATGAAACTTGGATAAACTGCTCTCCTAACACAAAAATGATTGTGGACTCTACCTCACATAGGAATGGTTGTCACGCACTGTGCTATGAAGTGGGGCGTATCACAACTCCAAAACGATCGAGACACAACCACCTCTGAGTTAGTTTACAGTGCAGAAAAAAGTTGAAGGAGGAGTAAGAGCCGTGGCTGAAGCCTGAGGGGGATAGTCTATCGATGCGTAACAAGCCATTACAAGTGGACAAAGTTTGAACCGTATGAGATCCACAGTGGTCGTAAAGCTGTAATAAAGCGAGAGGGCACAGACGAGACAACTAAAGTCCATTACAGTCCATGCGTCCCGATGGCAGGGTTGCTGCGAAGGGTCGCGCCCTACGACACACACTCATCGCATCCCCATACCCATATTCTCAGTTCTCAGTAGGGAAAGAGGCCAAGGGATGCTAGCTTGGCTAACGAAGTTTGATCTTATGATTAGTCTCATATTAGGATAATTCGATTTGTGCCAGTGTTCTCAAGTTGTTACTTCTAGATGTTCGAATTGGGATGGATGCGATATGTGACGGCTAGAAATTACAGAGGAAAGATGCTCGTTGATATTCGTGAATTCTATTCAGATAGAGTTTGTGGATTCTGTCGTAACATCTGTCGACCTTTTCTTACTTTTTTTTCACAATATTGCATTGATTTTTTATTGTGAATTTGCAGGATTCAGGTGTGCTGCGTCCATCCAAGAAAGGCATTAGTCTCACTAAGCAGCAGTACGAGAATTCAAAGCTGTCATGAGCGAAATCGATGCGAAGCTTTAAAAGTACTTTCTCATGGGTTGTGCGATTCACAACACTTTGTACATACGTTGCTTTTAGTTTTGAACTGCTTATTTTACACTTGTTGGAATTCAACACGCTTCGTTTGCTTAGTTGTTTGAAGTCTTCCTTCTCCACTTGGTGTAGCTTCCACCACAGAATTCTCCTCTCGGTTCTTACATTAAACTACGTTTGGAGCTTATAGTAATATAATAACAGCTCATAGTAATGTCTGCCATGAACTACCTGATTGTCATGTTTTATCCATTTAATGATCTCATTGAAGCACCTTCTTTTGATTTCGCGTATTTTTCAAGATTACCGGTCGCGGTTCCAATATTTCCACTGCTTTCCGTTTTTCTGCGTCTCGTGCCTCGTATCGGTCCATTCGATTCTTTTGTGTCAAAAATTCTTACCAGGTTATTGGTCGGATACCCAATGTCTTCTAGTGATGGCCGTAGTCGAAGTTTTGAACATGTTATGGAGTGTGAAGATGATTTCAAACAAACGGTGGGTGATCTTTTTCGTTCACTTAGACTTTTCATGCACTAAATTCTTTCCTCGTGATTTTAATACACTTAACTTTAATCGGCGTCTTATGGAGTGAACGCGGGTAGATACTTACGATGAGGTGCGCGTTGCTTTGTGGGTTAAGTGGTGCTAGGCCGATGTCATAGTTTGAGAGTGGAGCGATTCGCTAGCGAAAACTCAAACTATGACGATCGGCTACGATCGTGCGCAGTTTCGGATCCTGTGTTATACTGCGTCGCCTTTCCGGTCTCGTTTGTTCTCCTGCCCGGAGCTGCTTGAAAATCATGTATGTGTTACTTTATGTATGCAAACAAAAATCAAACAGAAACTGATATTACATTGGAAGTAAAACGTGACCTGGGAAAAGTCAGAGATCGGAACTCCGCCAGGAAGGCAGGCATGTCATGAAAAACGCGATTAAGCAGAATATGTATGGTCTAAGGCATGGAAGGTTGTTTGAGGCAGCAGTGTTTTCCAAGAATGCACACTTGAATTTAACTACTGGGTTATTGTAGGGACGATTTGGGAAGAGGAAAACTTCCACCAAAGCGGCGAAGCTTCGATTTGAGCTTATCTTTTTACTATATTCGTTTTCATGACTTCCTCTTCTTCAGCGCTTTCATGTAGTGAATAAATATGAAGTTGCCTGCTATTGTCCTCGATACATACAGAAAAACTCATATTGATTGTTTGCTATTAATGTCCTCATAACAGCTGGTTTTTTTTACCAGCGTTACATGTATTAATAGCGTTTGTAATACAAATCTTATTTTCCTCTTACAATTTGTGGGAATCCATTGTCAAGTTGTTCTGTTCAGGAACGAAATCGTGCCGTGGACAGCCCCTTGGGCCACCTGGACCCATCCCGAATAACTCACATGGTCGTTGATCAAGTTGGTCTTGGTGGTCCGGCTGTTCATCCCGACAATGAAGGTTTCGTAATTCCTGGCCCACCCTACCAGGTGAAAATTATATTTATTTATTTATTACAATCGTATAACTTCGTATAATGTATTATTTATTTATTTATTTATTTACAACTACTGTCAGAGCATTAATTCAAACGGGTTTCCTCCTGAGTATATATTTTCCGAAAATTCCAAATAATAACATCCAGATCGTTCAATGTTAAGAAACCTCACCGATGAATTCAAAATTTCTTTCACGTGACAAGTTAGTACATTTTACCCTTTTGTCGTTCAAGCTTTGTAAATCATCTTTTAGTTATTCTGTCCGTTTTTGAAAAAAAAGATGGTGCGCCTTTCTGATTGTCACTTCTTTGACAATCCTTGACAATTCTAGTTTTCTGAGAAAAGCAGTGTTTTTTTTTTCGAAGTCAGGATACTTTCCGAGAGCTAGCGAATTGTTTTCGTTATTTCTTAGAGATAACCTCCTCGTACTTTTGAAAGTTTTGGCAATTTTTGGGATGCAGGTGCTTAATATTCTTCATTCTAATGAACTACATGCGTTTGCGTATTACACTCGATGATTTTTTGAAGTAGCTGTTCTTCCAGCACTGGTCTCGTTCCTCACCCGTGGCAAGTCCGTCTGTTATGTCTTCACCTTCCAAAGGTATGTTTTCATCACTTATTGCAATACTAATGTTTCGAATCCGTTTTACCCGGCTCGTTAATTTTAATATCTGTGTTAAGGTTTTCTTATTGGTCGCGTATCTTTTCAAAGTAACCAGCTTTTGAATAGAGTTAGGGAGCGATAATTGGTTGTTCCAAGCTTGCCGGTAATGTAGTTGCCGAAATTGAACGAGTTAGATACGAAGCCCTTCTCTCTCCTTTTTAAGAAATTCAGTTTTATTCCCTCCGCGCGAAAAAAAAAAACATTTCCCAATCAAGTTGGTGTAATAGTCGACTGACTCATGCTCAGAGTAGCAACACGATTTTAGATCATGTCGATTCCAAAAATTTCGCCTTCACTTCCTGATATATAGTATTCTGACTCTGATGATATAGTACACGCTCCACCTCCACTCCAAGAATTCCCTCCAAAACTGCTGTCGAGTGGGAGAGAGGAGGTGTTAGGGGTATGTATAATCATTTGTAGGCGC